TATGTGCCAGCAAAGCCGTGGAGGCCATTTACCCGATATGCTATTCCATACATAACCCTATACTGTATACTTTGTGAATCAATAAAAAATTTACAATTTTTAATTATAAACCTGTGTTTTCTATCAAAATTACTTCTTGCGTGAATTTTGGGACACCCTTTTTAGCCGGTCTTGCCTGTTGATAAGGGATTTGGACAAGAAGAGAATTTGGGGGTTTGATACAGACCCCTAAAAAGCATTTGGAAAGAAAAGTGGAGACATTTTTAATTGTCGCAGAAACTGAGGGCAGCCCAGCGATGTGGCTCAGTGACCTATGAACCAGTAGGTCATGGTTTGATTTCTTCCAGTTAGGGCACATGTCCAGGTTGTGGGCTTGATCCCACTTGGGGGTGTTCAGGAGGCAGCTGATGGATGAGTCTCTATCATCATTGATGTTTCTATCTCTCACTCCCTTTCCCCTCCTCTCTGAAATATATATATATATATAAACAACACTGAGGGCTATGTTTAGTAAAAGGGCCAGAGACAGGAGACACTCAACATTCTTCAAGGCACAAGGTAGTCCAATATAGTGAAGAATAACCTGCCCCAAAGGACAATAGTGCTGCCCCGAGACGTGGCGTGATGACTTCTACATGACTTACCAGCAGTCTCTGCATTCTCTCCGTGACCTGACTCTGGAGCTCTAAACATCCCCTCCCCTTCTGATTGGCTGAGCTCTCTCCCAGCTCTCCTTGAACTTGTTCTCATTATCTCCCACTCATTCCACAACATCAGATTTGCTGAGCCCATAGTTAATGCCCTCATGGCCCCTTTTCCCCTCGAAGGCTTGCTGTTCCTGACTCTGGTTGGAATTGGGTGGAGATGCTGGGTGGGGCCAAAACGTGAGTCTGGTTTGAGTCATGGGTAGCTGTGTCTGGAAACTCCCCATCCTGAACAATCCATGTCCTGGGATTGTCCTTTCTGTGACTGGGGAGCCATATCCCAGATGCCCCTCTGCCCCTACCTTTCCTGGGAGGCCTGTGCCCTTCAGTAACCTGAATGCTTATCGCTGAGCGGGGAGGGCCAGGGGCTCCTAACACAGTTGGGGATGTTCTCAGTGGCCACACCAGGCTGCATGCTGGTCCCAGCACACTCCCCACCAGGCAGGCTTCTAGCCCCTGGGGCACTGAGGTTGGCCTTTGAGGACGCCTCGCCTGGATCACAGCTAAGTGAAAATCCTGGCGCAGGAGGGATTCCCAGATGCTTCCCTTTCAGAAACGTATGACCTCTCCCTAGATCCTCTTCGGGGGTCCTATCTCCATTTCCTGAGGATATGACATGACTCAAGGAACAGAGAGCGCTCAGCCTCATTGGGGGTCAGGCTCACCTCATAGAGGCCGATGTTGGAGCTATCCGCAGGCTGGCTGGGGACGCTGCGAATGTCTGACACACTGCGGGCGACCAGACTCGACCGACTGCTACCCTGGGCCACCTGGAGGGTAGAGGTCAATTCAAGGGGTCAAAATATACTCCGAGTCCCGGATATATTGAGTGCTCAGGCAGAGTTCTGGGGGTTGAAGAGGGGAGAGGAAGAAATAGTAATTAGGGAAGGTCATCATGACATTACTTCCCAGGGACACAGCAGTTGACAGTTTAACATTCATTTCTTGTTGGAGCTTCACACTGCCCCAGGAAGCAGCCAGGACAGGGCCTGCTCCCCTCAGTGCACGCATCAGGCCTGGGACAGGGCTAGAGCAGACACCAGGCCTCCTTTCCAGTTGGGGTTGGGGTGAGGGCTGGCCCAGGCAGGGGACCAGATATGTAAGGAATCATAGTTGGATCCTGGCTCCCTGCTTCTCCCACCTTTTGAGAGCTGCCCCCTTGTGGGTGGAGGAAGGTGATGTCGTCCAGAGTCAAGATGATCTTGTTGGGGCCTGAGATCATTTGGATGTGAAGTAGCCGGTGCCTGGTAGGGGGAGGAGGTCATCTCCGCAAAGGGGGCCAAGGTGCATGAGAGGAGGCCAGAAGGGGATAATGGTGCTCAGGGGAGGGCAGCCATCCCCAAACCAGACAGCCCTTGGGACTATGACAGCCTTCTAGGACCCCTCCCCCCTGTCCCTTTCACATAAACTTTCCCGTCTATCTTGAGTGGACCCAGCCTGCTGTCCTGCTGTACAGTTGCATTTCTGGCATGAAGAGAGCCAAGCTCATCTCCTACTTACCTCACTTCCTTACTCACCTCACATAATGGGCCAGGAAGGCCCCTGTCAGCCCCATCCCAACCACCAGGAGGAAGCCGATAAAGACGAGGCCCGGATCCACTCCTGGAGGGGCAGCGAGAGGGGCACTGAGGACCTGGCGGAGGGGAGGCACCCTTTCTAGGGAAGCAAGCAGTCATGCCGTATCCTGGAGCAGGGGTCCTCAAACTTTTTAAACAGGGGCCAGTTCACTGTCCCTCAGACCGTTGGAGGGCCGGACTATAGTTTAAAAAAAAATTATGAACAAATTCCTATGCACACTGCACATATCTTATTTTGAAGTAAAAAAACAAAACGGAAACAAATACAATATTTGTATTTGCATGTGGCCCGCGGGCCGTAGTTTGAGGACCCCTGTCCTGGAGGCTCCTGGACAGGGGGAGGGGAGCCAAGAAAGGGAACTAGCAAAAGGTCATGAGTTCTGCTAAGGGGGAGCATCTGGGAGCCAGAAAGAGGGCCTTAGGGGCTCAGCAAGAGAGGGGTCCTACACAAGTCTCGGTCCCAGGAGGACCTGAAAGGGCCTCATGGAGGAGTTACAGGAAGTTCACTGTCTGTCCCCACTTTGTGGGAGGTCCCTGGTGACTGTCCTAGTGGAGGCTGTGTTTGCCCTCACCTCCGTTGCAGATGATGTCTGGGTCGAACCAGCAAGAGGGATCGGGCCCAGGCCCCTGGCCCCCTCCAGGGAAATGCACTGGGGTCCCAGCAGAGCGGAAGGAGCCCCGGGTGGGGTCCAGCATGTATGTGGCGAACAGCTGGTCCCCCGCCTCATCTGTGTCCAGCAGCACAAGCGGGGGCTCCTCGGCTCCTCCCAGGGCCCCGCAGAAACCCGGGACCTGGGCATCCTGGACGTGGTGGGCCACAGCTGCTCCGGACACCCAGCTGCCACCTACCGCCGCCCGAGCTCGCGCCACGCCCCCCGCCAACAAGAAGACCGCATCATAGATGGTGCCGAAGAGTGGGGATACCTGGGGAAGGAGAAGGGGCTCAGGGTGTGGGGTCACGGCCCATAAACAGACAGCCCTTCTCCTTATCTTTTCCTGGGGCCCTTCAAGCCCTTGACTGTTCTCACCTCCTAGTGGTTCCCCACATCCTATTGTCTCTCTCTTCCTCTCTCCCATTGGCTATCTCATCTCCTTTCCCCACGGGCCTTCCTTCTTCTCAGGATTCTCACTCTTGTCACCATTGGTTAATTCTAACTCTTTTACCTACAGATCCTCTCTTCCTTTTCCTGTTGGTTGCCCTGAATATATTTTTAATTGATTTCAGAGAGAGGAAGGAAGAGATAGAAACATCAATGATGAGAATCATTGATCAGCTACCTCCTGCTCGCCCCCTACTGGGGATCAAGCCGGCAACCTGGACACGTGCCCTGACCCGCAATGGAAACATGACCTCCTGCTTCATGGTTGATGCTCAACCACTGAGCCATGCCAGCCGGGCCTGAATATATTTTTAATATCATTACCTATCATTCACCTAAAAGCCTTCTTTCCCATCTTTGGTGAGTTTCTAATTTCTATTTCAGTCTTTTCGTTCCCCAGGACCTTATGGAGCCTCTCTATGTTCCCAGTTCCCAGTTCTCACAGTGCCAGGCAGTATGTAAAGCACAAGGCATGTATCGGTAGACAAGACAGAGTCCCTGTCTCGGGGAATCTTTCCTCTAGTTGGGGAGACAGATAAGGATGTTAAGGCAGGGCAATGAGTGCGGTCCAGTAACCGAGATAGCTGTGGAGACAGGGAGGAGGGCCCCAAACCAGGCAGAGGCTTCCGGAAGGAGTGGCCCTCCCTCAGGAAATGGGCCGGAATTATCTAGGGGGCAGACAGCTGGTGCAGGAGAGCGGGAACAGTGCAGCCAGCAGCACAGAGGTGAAAGAGAAGGACCCATTTAGGGAAACCAAACTAGCTGGTCTGATTGAAGTTCAAGGAGGATGGAAGAGAGAGGAACCCCAGACCGGTCAGCTGTGGGACGAGACCTGCGTTTATCCTGCAGGAGAAGCCCCTCGGAGGCTTTGAACAGAGGCGTGACAGTCACATTTCTGAAGTTCCAGCTGATGGTTGGGCGGAGAAAGGCCTGGGACAGGTAACTGCTGAAACAGGGACCATGGGGAAGATTTTGTTTTGAGGTTTGGACCAGAGGGTGTGGCCTGAACCAGGGCAGTGACTGTGCGAATGGAGAAAGTGGATGGATTTAGAAGTAAACGTGACAGGACTTGCTGCCTTGCTTACTGAGAACTAAAGAGGGTTTTTTTCTTTTCACCACTTTCTCCACTCTCTCTCTCACTTTCACTCTATCCCACCTCTGTTCCTCTTCCCATTCCTTCCCTCCACGGGCTACCCCAAATGTGGGTGGGGAGTATTTCAACCCCCCCTTCACTTATAGCCCTCTCATAGGGCCCTTTTAGTTGTTAGTTTTCTGCCCACTGGCATCTACATTCCCTTCTATCTTAGTGGCTTATAGCCCCCCTTTTATGCATGGGGTGGGACTAGATGGTCTGAACTGGCATTCTGGGTTCTCAGGGAATCCTGGGTATTAGCTGGTTTCAGGAATAAGCTGTGGATCTAAATGATTATGGAAGCTTTTGGCTCTGCCTAAGGACCTTTCTGCTTCTCACAAGACGTCATGGCTCTCAAAAGGTTAAAACCACCAGACGAAGCCCCTCCCCCCAGAGGGAGCACCTCTGAAATGGGCATGGGGTTGGATCTGCACCCTCTCTCCGGAAGAGATAGAAACGAGCACCAGCTGGCCAAAACCGGTTTGGCTCAGTGGATAGAGCGTTGGCCTGCGGACTGAAAGGTCCCAGGTTCGATTCCGGTCAAGGGCATGTACCTGGGTTGCGGGCACATCCCCAGTAGGGGGTGTGCAGGAGGCAGCTGATCGATGTTTCTCTCTCATCGATGTTTCTAACTCTCTAACTCTCTCCCTTCCTCTCTGTAAAAAATCAATAAAATATATTTTTTAAAAAGAGCACCAGCTGTTTATTACGGACATTACCGGGGTCTGCACGCGCTGGTGGTGTTGGAGGCGGGTTTACTTGAAGGAGACGGCAAAGATGCTGCAGAGTTTAGGGTTCACTCCTCGGAGCTGGGCTTGAAAGGTCTCATTTCAGTCTCTCGGGAAACAATCTCAATCCACTACGATGCCCCACGCAAGCTAGGCCAGAGCGTCACACTACCCAGGAGTCTCCAGAGCAGGTGGAGCTGCTAGTTATTCTCTCCCCGTTGTCGTCCCCCTCTCTCCCATTGACTCCATCCTCCTCTCTGCCATTCCTGTATCCACTTCTCCACTCATTGCCCCCAGCCTCCTTGCCCCAAGTTGGCCATCCTCTGCTTCCTTCCCCAGCTCTCCGCCCCTCTTCTCTCCGCCCTGGTCCCTCTACCTGCTGCAGATTAAGGTCAGGGGGCAGCTCCCGCTGCTCCTGGGCCCTGCGCAGGGCGTCCAGCACGCTGCCTCCAGGGGGACAGCGGCGCGTGAGGGTGAGCACCGCATCGTGGGCCCGGCGGAGCTGTGAGCTGTTGGCCAGCACGGACAAGGCCTCCGGGCCCGGGGACAAGGCGTAGTGGAGCGTGTCGAAGGGCAGGAAGACCAGGGCGCCGTCGGCCAGGCCCAGCTCCTCTGCAGCCTCCAGGAGGCAGCGTTGCTCCTCGCCCCCCAGCAGCACCGAGTGCATCACCATGATCACCGCTGTGGACACAGACGCTCCGCTCCGGATCCGCCCGGGGCAGCGGAACCATCGACCGCCGCCCCTGCGGGGAGCCTACCTCTGACTCGGGGCCCCTCTTGGACCCTCCTCAGGGCCTCCCGGGCTCCGGACAGATTCGAGGGCTCCATGGCTGTCACCAGGGCCACGGGCAGACCCCGGG